TCTGGAAAATTAGATTTCTACAAACGAAAGAATGAATTAGGATCGACGCCACACACCATATACAAAACCAAATGAAAACCAAGAAATTCTTAGAAGAAACAATGAGTAAGGTGTGGCTGCTAAGCCTAGTTTTAAACAACGAGTGATCAGATACGACAATTAGCAGTCAAAGCAGCAAAAGAGAAAATAGATAAATGGGTTATTGCTATTAGGTGCTGTTGAGTCTGTTTTGACTCATAGCAACTCCAGGTAACAGGGAGAACTACTGCACAGGGTTTTCTAGGTTGTAATCTTTATGCGAGCACATCACCAAGTAGTTCTCCCATAGAGCCATGGGGTGGGTTTGAACAGCCAGACTTTCTGTTAGCAGTTGAGCATTAAACATTAGACCACCAGGGCTCCTAGAGAAATGAGACCTCATAAAAATGGAATACTTTTGTTCCTCCAAAGACTATCTACATAGTGGAGACAACCTAAAGATTAGGAGAAAAATTTTGAGAGCCATATACCATATATTGGAGTCCTAGTGTGGCACTGTGGGTTAATGCGTCAGACTGCAGTTGTTTGAACTGCAAGGTCGGTGGTTCAAGCTCACCAGCTGCTCCTTGGAAACCCTACACAGGGTCGCTATGGGTCGGAATCGACTCAACGGTACTTAACAACAACAACATACCATATACCTGTATACCAGATAAGGGTCTAATATCTAAGTTATATAAAGAATGTCTGCTGCTTAACAAAAAGACAGACAACCCAATAAAAGCAATGGGCAAAGAACTTGAACAAACATTTCAGCAAAGAGAACATTCAAATGGTCAACAAGCACACGAAAAGATGCTTAATGTCATTAACCACTGTTGTTGTTAAGTGCCTTTGAATCAGGCCCAACTCAGAGCAACCCTGCATAGGGTTTCTAAAGAGCAGATGATAGGTTTGAACTGCTACCCTTGCTGTTAGCAGTCCAGAGCTCTGGTAGCGTAGTGGTTATGAATCGGGCTGCAAACCACAAGGTCAGCAGTTCGAAACTACCAGCTGCTCCGCGGGAGAAAGATGAGGCTTTCTGCTCCCGTAAAGATTTACAGCCTTGGAAACCCTGTTCAGGGTCACTATGGGTCGGAACCGACTCGACAGCACTTAACAACAACAACTTATTCTACAGTGCCACACTAGAGAGATAGAAATAAAAAACTACAATAAGATACCACCCCACTCCTATTAGAATGGTGATGTTCAAAAATATGGAAAATAACAGGTGTTGAAGAGGTGGTGGAGAAATTGCTGGTGGGAATGTCAAATGTACAGCCACAGTGGAAACCGGCTGGTCAATTCCTCAAAAACATTGAACATAGAACTACCATGTTGTTGCTGTTGTTAAGTGACATCGAGTCAGTTCTGACTCATAGCGACCCTGTATATAGCGACCCTGTATAGGGTCTGAGTAGCAGCTGGTGGGTTTGAACTGATGATCTTGAGGTTCAAACTGAACTTATGGGCCGATGCTTATCCTACAGCGCCACACCAGGACTGCTGATCTACGATAGTACCAAGCAATCATGCTGCTAAGTATATATACCCAGAAGTGTGGACAGAAGAAACACAAACCGAAACTTGTACACCAATGTTCCTTGCTGTACTTTTCAAAAGGTGGAAACAACGAAAATGCCCATCAATAATAGATGAATGGATAAGGATAAGCAAAATGTGGCATATATACACAATGGAATATTTGTTGTTGGTGTTGTTAAGGTCTATGGAGTTGGTCCGGACTCACAGCAACCCTGTATAAGGTTTCAGTCTTCACGGGAGTAGCAAGTCTCATCTTTTTCCCGCGGAGCAGCTGGCAGGCTCGAACAGCTGACATTGTGGTTTGCAGTCCAGTGCTTATTGTATGGACACCACACTCCCAATGGAATATTACTCAACCATAAAGGGATATAAAGTGCTGATACATGCCACACCAGGGAAACATCAAGCTGAGGAAATACACCGGTTGCAAAACGACAAATAGAGTATAATCTCTCTTATATGAAAACCGTATTCAGAGTCACTATGAGTCAGAGCCAAGTCGAATACACTTAACAACACTTATATGAAATAAACAAATATATTCAACCAGAAGATTATTAGCGGATACCAGGAGTGGGAATGGTAGGCGCAAGAGGTGGACTTTCTTAGGTAGCACTTAGTTTATGTTACTAGTGATAGAATCATTGAGAAAAGGGTAATGCTAAGGAGCTCTGGTAGCGTAATGGTTACGAATTGGGCTGCTAACCTCAAGGTTGGCAGTTTGAAACTACCAGCTGTTCCGCAGAAGAAAGATGAGGCTTTCTGCTCCTGTAAAGATTTTCAGCCTTGGAAACCCTGTGTATGGTTGCTATGAGTCGGAACTGACTCCACGGTACTTAACAACAACAATATGGTGGCACAACTTGAGTGGAATGTATGTCACTGAATTTTACACATAGAAATTGTTGAGTTGCAATATGTTTTGTTATATATATTTTCACCACACACAAGAAACAAAATGAAACGAATCAATAAAATCACACACATACAAGTCATGGAACCTTTGAACAAGTCATTACCTCTGACTGGAACATCTGGCTGCCTAGCCAAAGCTTACTCATCTTCTAAATCTTCCCAGATCCATCAGGCCAGATCTGGCTCACTTCTTATAACCTCTCACAGAATCTTATGCTTATTTCTTAGAGTATTCATGAAAGCTGTGATTTAAAAATTGGGTCATTACTGAATGTCTGTTTCCTTGGCTATAAAAGTAAGTTCCATATGGGTAGGCACTGCTCAGGGGCAGAATTTGGCTTATTGTGGAAACTCCAGCATTTAGCTCACATTTAACCCATTGTTGTTGTTAGGTGCTGTTAAGTCGGTACCTACACATAGTGCTCTTATGTACAACAGAACAAACACTGCCTAGTCCTGCACCAACCCCACAATCGTTGGCTACCCTTGAGCCCACTGCTGCTGCCACTGTGCCAATTCATCTCGTTGAGGGTCTTCCTCTTTTTCACTGATCCTCCACTTTACTAAGCATGATGTCCTTCTCCAGCGACTGGTCGCTCCTGATAATATGTCTGAAGTATGAGCGATGAAGGATGGCCAACGTAGCTTCCAAGGAGCATTCTGGCTCCCCTTCTTCTAACACAAATTTGTTTCTTTTGGTAGTCTGTAGTACTTTTAATATTCTCCTCCAACACCATAACTCAAATGTATCAATTCTTCTATGATCATCTTTATTCATTGTCTAGTTTTCACATGCATATGAGGTTATTGAAAATACCATGGCTTGGGTCAGATGCACTTTAGTCCTCAAACTGACATCTTTGCTCTTCTTCACTTTAAAGAGGTCTTGTACATCCGATTTACCTAATGCAATACCTCATCGTTTGATTTCTTGACTGTTGCTTCCTTGAGTGTTGATGGTTGATGTGGGCAAAATGAAGTCTTTGACAACTTCAATCTTTTCTCCATTTATCATGATGTTATTTATTGGTTCAGTGGTGAGGATTTTTATTTTCTTTACATTGAGATACAACCCATATGGAACGAAGACTGTAGTTTTTGATCTTCATCAGTAAGAATTTTATATCCTCCTCGCTTTCAGCAAGCAAGGTTGTATCATCTGCATATCTCAAGCTGTTAATCACACTTCCTCCAAACTTGATGCCGTGTTTTTCTTCATATGTAACAGTTACCACTAAATGAATATTTGTAAATAAGTAGAGGAATCGAAGGACTACCAGCTACCAGCTTACTGGAAGATAAACCTCCCTAATAGTCTCTGCCATTGGCTAGACCTGCTGGGTGTGGAAGAAGGCCTGCTCAAACAGACCCAGAGAATGCTGAAGCCGTTTGCAAAGTGGTTAGCAAACCACAGGATAAATGATATGAGTGAAACTATTTATGAGCAACAATATAAAATTCAGTTTTCAAGAACGCTGAAGGCCAATGTGAAAGAAATATACTGATTTTGATGATCTTGTGTATTTTTTTATATCAGATTCCTCGAAACAGTTTCACACAGAGTGGCCTAATAGCCTGAGGGATGAAGAAACGTTTCCTCTTTCAAAGACTATTTTTTTGAACGATAAGAATTGCTAAAGAGGAAGCAATCAAACCAATCAGGTGGATTTTGTCCTCCACCCTATGCTTCCGGATTGTAAAAAATACGCTTTCAGATCTCCCGGTGAACTAACTGCATTCCTGTTCGTATTTAGAGATCAGGAATTTCAATCTGTTCTTCTCAAAGATACCACAAGGGCATCAATTTTGGAAATTCAATTCATTTCTCCACAAAAACGAGCCAGTCTGCAGTTTTCACGGCATTGATAATAATCCTATGTTGGGAAATGTATGCTTCATTCGAGTCAAAGAAAGTTTGTCATGGTCTTCATTGGCGGGGAAGTCCCTGTTTTCACTTCAGGTTCCACAAAACGGGCGCAGGTTCCCTTGGGAGGCGAGTCTGTCTCTTTGAGCGTCATCCAGGACCTCCCAAAGGATGTGATACCAAAACATGAATCGGTCAGTGATCTCAAAAATTTATCTCAGAAAATTCTGTTTGTGAAAGCAACGAAAGAAAGGTGTTGCCCTTACAAGATTACGGTTCTTCAGCGCCTCCAACTTTAACAGACCCTTTTCCCAACCCGCAGCCCCTAGCTCCAGGAAGCCGCCGCCCGCCGCTGCCCTGCGGGTGCGACTCGGAGTCGTGAGTTCTCCGCCCGCCACACCCGACCGCCAAGAAGCCCTGCCTCTCAGAGGCCCACGCCTCCGTCACAGGCGGGGCTCCCACAGGCAAGCTATCCGCGACTGGCTGGAGGCCCTGCCTGTCAACAGGGGAGGTGCGTCGCCCGCAGTTCGGCGTTCTCATTGGTTGCGGCGGCGGCGGCGGCGGCGCGCGCGCTCCCGGAGGGGAGGGGAAGCCGGTGGCTGTGGCGCGGATCGGGCGGAGGCTGCCGGTTTCGTAACCGACGCTCCTCCTTGCTGACTCGCGGGCTGCGAGGCCTGGGTCGGGTCGGGCCGTGCGGGGCCGCTCGGAGTGGAGGCCGCCTAAGGGCGGGCCGGCTGGAGACACAGGTAAGGAGGCCGACCGGGCGGACTGAGAGAAGACCTGGAGGCCGCGGCCGAGCCAGCCGCTGGCGTGAGCGCCGGCCGGCCAGAGCAGCCCCGGCCCGGCTCCCAGCGGCTGGCTCGCCGGGAAGGCCCCGCGCGGCCCGCAGTGCGGGTGGCGGCCCCGCGCGGCGTCTGATGCAACCTGCCGGCAACACCCGGCGGGGGCGCTTAACTCATCGGCTGGCCGCGGCCCAGCGCCTCGGTGCCGCCCCGGCCCCCGGGACAGCTGCGGATGGCCGGGCACCGGGTGGAAGGCGAGGTGGGCCCGGTCAAGACCCAGCCCTCTGTCTGTGTCTGCGACGCTCATTGTGACCACCTGGGCGCATTTGGACCCTAGGGGAGCTAGGGTGTTTCCAGAATAGCAGGAGGTGGACCGGATCTTAGATTCAGAGCCCTCTAGGGTTATTTCCTGCCGGTCTTTAAACAGCTCCTTCTCGGGTGGTTGAGACTCTGTTCGAAAGTTTATAGTCACAGGAAAACCGGCTGACCTTGCAACACGTAACTTTAGGGAAATAATAGTTTGCTTATTTATGAAGCTCTAATTTTTGCAGTCCTGGTGTGACGCTGTGGGTTTGACTCGCAAGGTCGGCGGTTCAAGCTCACCAGTTGTTCCTCGGAAACCCTATGTAGGGTCTCTGTAGGTCGGAACCGACTCGACGGCACTTAACAACAACAACAATTTGAATATCCAGCAATTCAGGATGTAACATGAGTTAATGTATACACAACCACCTAGAATTGACAAGAAAACATACGGGCAAGAAAATGAATTACTTCGTTAGCCTGGTTGGAGGGAACACAACAAGAAAAATATCGAAGGGGCTTTCAAAAAGTTCTTTCCATTCTACTTTTCCACGAACGTTGGAGAGAATGAACGTGCACATTTTAGGGAAGCGTTTTTTCTAAGTGACCTTGTGTGTTTCTATGCTTCACAAGGTGCCTTCGGTTTTCCTGTTGTTTGAGGTTTATATTATAATGTGCCTGCTCTTCCGGGGTTACACAGAAATGGGCAGTTATGTCTTTATTTGAATAGATTGCTTCGTGTTCTTTAATTCAGATAGTATATGTGACACCCAGATTCACATATATTTGAAATAAGATATGAACTGTGAACTTCTTTACTAAGAACTTCTGTATCTCAAAGCTCTTGCTATTTCAAAGTTAAGATCTGTTTGGCTCTTACCACGAGTCATCTTTGGAGTAGGCCATTATTAAAGGTGAATCTCGGTTTCGAGAAATTTTTCCTGTAAACGAGACAAAATTCCAAGATGCTAAGTGAAAAAAAGTTTTTTTGTCAGTTCTCGTTTCCTGCAGATGGTGGACACATTTGACTGGTTCGTTCCGTTTTGCTACGATAAAGTGGGTGGAAACAAAACTTCATTTTTTTCAGAAGAACCTTTAACTTGTCTGGAGCACAGCATCACTGTCCTCAAAGCCCTCTGATCCTGGCCAGGTGGCTTGAGCCCTAGGGAAGTAAGTAGCACATCACGAGTTTCTAGTAAAGACAAATAGGACTCAGGGGCCTGGATTTGTTCTGATGGTCTGAGATTGCCTCACCTGGTCATAGAAATAGTAAATACAGTTAGCCACAATTCCAGGTCTAATTTATTATGTATTCTTGGGAGGGGTGCTGCCATGGATTCTTGTACTGATTGACAGGTACATTAGACTCCTACCTTCTGGCTTCCCATTCCCCCCAAATTAAAGTTTGAATATGAGCACCAGATAGCTGTATATTTACAACCAATCTGTATGATCTGTTTTTAAAAGATGACACTGAAAAAGAAAACTGGGCTCTTTTTTTTGGTCTCTCTTGCTCCAGGGGATCACTTAGGTACTTCTTGAGGGGATAGACTCTCCTTCATGGATCTCTGCTTTGGATCATGAAGTAAGCCGAGAAATCCTACTTAATTTGGATAGCTACAGACTTTACTTGCTTACCTAGACTTCCAGTACAGAGTTGTTGAGTCCTGGAAATTCATGCCTAATTCCTGAGGTTATTAATTGGAAAACGTAACTGGGCTTAACAGAAACTGTGAGGTGCTGTCGAGTCGTTTCCGACCCTGTGTATAACAGAACAAAATACCACCCGGGCCTGTGCCATCCTCACGATTGTTGCTATGTGTGTGCCCACTGCTGCTGCCACTGTGCTAATCCATCTCATTGGGAGGCTCCCGCTGTTTTGCTGCCCCTCCACTGTACCGAGCATGATGTCCTTCTCCAGGGACTGGTCCCTCCTATAGGTCCTCAAATGAGATGAAGCAAGAACTAGACCCAAGAATGGAGCCATATTTTCATTTTGCCTGTATGTCTCTAAGAAAGACCAAGAAGTTTAGGTAATAAGATTATACTATCTAGAAACGTTATTGATTTAATTTGATTGTTTAAGAGCTTTTAATGTTGGTCTCATTTTTATGTAAGATACTTGGAAGAATAAGTCGTTTGTGCCAGCATTAACAAATATTTCTTGAGCACCACCACTGTATGCCAACCTCTGCACTAAATGCAGTGTTTGGGAGAGCACAGGCTTGTGTGTTTGAATACTAACTTCAGCCTGTTCGTCCTACTGTGGTGGTTTGTATGTTGCTGTGATGTTAGAAGCTATACCACGTGCTGTGTCAAACCCCCCAGCAGGGTCAACCCATGGCAGACAAGTTTCAGTGGAGTTTCCAGGCTAAGACAGATGAGGAGGAAGACGAGGTAGTCCACTTTGAGAAATTAGCCACTGAACACCTTATCATGAGGAGCAGTGGAGTGTTGGAGGTACGCAGCCAAGGACTGTGGAAAGCTGCCTCTAAGATGGACTGACACTGTGGCTGTACCAGTGGGCTCAAACGTGGCAGTGACTGTGAGGCTGGCACAGGACAGGGCAGTGGTACGTTCTGTGCTACGTAGGTTTGTTGGGAGTCGGAACTCACTCGGTGTAGGCCCCTAACAACAGACAACACTAACGAAAAGGTTGGCATTTGGAACCTATCTGGTGGCACCTTGGAAGAAAGGGCTGGTAATTTACTTCTGAAAGGTTGCACCTTTGAAGATCTTTTTTGCTTTGAAAGTTGGGTTGTCTGCAACTGGTTTGGTTTGGTTGCTTGGGGATGTGAAGCTGAAAAGATGCAATCCTGCCTTGAGCTTAGTCTAGCGAGATGTATAGTACCGTGCCTCTGTACAGAAGTTGACCTGGAAACTGGGGAACAACATGAAAAGAGAGCACAAGTGGTTGAGGTGTGATGACGTGTGAGGGACCAGGGACTGAAGAGAGGGTGAAGGCTTTGAATGTGATCATGGAGACAGGAGCCATAGAAGGATTTTCAGCAGGAAAATGTGACCTGCTCAGTTTTGAGTGTTAGATTACTCATTCATGTGACAGTGGTTGGAGGGAATGCTGTTAAACCAGGGCAACTGGAGTCCCCCTGAGAGATGATGTCAGCCTGAGGTAATCTCTGTGGCGTTGGGACTGCCGAAGATTGCCGATGCCAGATTTAGTAGTAGTAGTTAGCAGTTACTAGTAGTAGAACCCGGTGATTGAGGCAAGGGAGAAACATTTAGGAACATTTTTGGAGCTTGCTGAGGAAATTGAGTAGAAACATTTATTCTGTGGCTGACTAAATGGAGTGACATTTGTTTTGGGAGAGGGCTGTGTGGTTCTTTTAGGTAGGCTTTTAAATTTTTTATTGTGAATTGAATGAAAATATTTCCCATGTAAATGTTTATTATTGATACTCAGTTGGCTCATTTGGCTTGTTAAAAGCAGTTGAATTGGTTCCGACTCATGTTGTTAAGTGCCATCCTGTGTAGGGATTCCAAGGCTGTACATCTTTGTAGGAGTAGAAAGTCTCATTTTTTTTCCTGCAGAGTGGCAAGTGGGCTTGAACTGCTGACCTTGTGGTTCACAGCCCAGTGTTTATCCTACATAGCTTCTTTGTAGTAAGACAGTTCTTGCCAGGTTTAGTAAATGAAACTTGGGAAACATATGATTTTATTTTACTTCTTGTAATGTTTTGAATTTTTAGTGTCTTACTGGTACCGACTCAACGGCACTTAACAACAACAACAACTGGTTTGAATGAACATTGGTTGAATTTAAAAAATGTGGATTAAAAAAATCGTACCAATTTAGTGCAGCATAAGAGTCCTTGTTAATTCACTGCAGTGGATCTCAGACTTGATGGTAATCAGAACACTTGTTGTTGTTGTCAGGTGCCATCGAGTCGGTACCGACTCGTAGCGACCCTATGCACAGCAGAACAAAACACTGCCCGATCCTGGGCCAACCTCACTACTGTTGCAACGTCCTTTAAAAGGAGATTGCTCCTGATTCCTGGGTCCTTCCCAAATGATGCTGACCCAGGGAGTACACTTTGGTCTTCAGTTTTCCGGCTGCTTCCTGCTTGAGTGATTCACATGCTAGAAGACAGGGCACCACCCTGCTTCCTGTAGGCTGAGCTTTGGAATAGTATTTGTCCACACATGTAGGAGTCAGGCTTTCATTTAAGGTTGAGTATCCAGGAGTCCTGGTGTGGCGCTGCGGGTTAATGCGCTGGACTGCAAGGTCGGTTTGAACTGCAGCGTCAGTGGTTCAAGCTCACCAGCTGCTCCTTGGAAACCCTATACAGGACTTCTGTGAGTCGGAACCGACTCACTGGCATTTAACAACATCCAGATAGGAGGCCTGGTGTGGCGCTGTGGGTTAATGCGTCAGACTGCAAAGCTGTTTGAACTGTAAGGTGGTTCAACCTCACCAGCTGCTCCTCAGAAACCCTATACAGGGTCACTATGGGTCGGAATCGACTCGATGGCACTCAACAACAACAATAAATCCAGATCTGAAAGGAGCCTTGGTATTCCTCATAAGCCGCTCCTTGGAAATCCTATTCAGAGTCAGTCTGCTGCAAAGCTGTCAGTTTGAGGACTAAGGTGCGCTTGACCCAAGTCATAGTATTTTCAGTAACCTCTGATGTGTACGAAAGCTGGACAGTGACTAAGGAAGACTGTAGAAGAACTGATGCCTTTGAGTTATGGTGTTGGAGGTGGATATTGAAAGTGCTGCCAAAAGAACCAACAGATTTGTATTGGAAGAAGTACAGCCAGAAAGCTTCTTGGAAGCCAGGATGGCCAGTCTTCGTCTCTCATACTTGGGACGTATTATCAGGAGGGACCAGGTGCTGGAGAAGGAGATCATGTTTGGTGAAGTGAAGCGTCATTGAAAAAGAGGGAGACTCCCAGTGAGATGGATTGGCACAGTGACAGCAGCGATGGGCTCAGGCGTAGCAACAATAGTGAGGTTGGCCCAGGACCTGGCAGTGTTTTGTTCTGTTGTGCACAGGGTCACTGTGAGTTGGTACTGGCTTGATGGCACCTAACTACTATTATGAGTTGGAACTGACTCAGTGGCACTTAACAACATCAACAATCCAGATATGATAGGAGCCTTGGTATTCCTTTCGGATTAGCACTGGACTGCTGATGACAAGGCTGGCAGTTCACACCCACCAAGCTGCTCTTTGGGAGACAGGTGAGGCTGGCTGCTCTCATCAAGATTTTTAGTCTCCCATCAAGGAGCTCTGGTAGCATAGTGGTTACGAATTGGTCTACTAACCTCAGGGTCAGCAGTTTGAAACTTCCAGCTGCTCCACGGGAGAAAGATGAGGCTTTCTGCTCCCGTAAAGATTTACAGCCTTGGAAATCCTATACAGGGTTGCTATGGGTCGGAAGCGACTCCACGGCACATAACAACACCACCACCACCAAGATTTACCCTATGTAAGATTACTATGAGTTGGAATTGACAGGATGGGTATGTAGATATAAAAGTTCCCTGGTGGCACATTGGTTAAGCACTTGGCTGTTAACCCAGTGGTCGGCAGTTGACAACTACCAGCCACCTCTAGGGAGCACCATGAGGGGATCTGCTTCTATAAAGATTATCCAGTGGTCGGCAGTTGACAACTCCCAGCCACCTCTAGGGAGAACCATGAGGGATCTGCTTCTATAAAGATTATCCAGTGGCAGTGGATTTGGTTTGGTTTGATTTATTCAATTTTGAAATGAAAAATGAAATTAAAAAAAAAAATTAAATCCATTATTAGTGTTGTTGTTAAGTGCCGTCAAGTCGATTCTGACCCATAGCGACCCTGTATAGGGTTTCCAAGGAGCAGCTGGTGAGCTTGAACCACCGATCTTACAGTTCAAACGACTTTGCAGTCTGATGCATTAGCCCACAGCGCCACAGCAGAAATCCATTATAGGTGCTTAATAAAGCTGGAAAGAACCAAAGCTACAGGAAAAGTGGAAAACTGTACTGTGGAGGCAGGTGACTGTGCACTCGATTGTGTTTGCAGTTCATAAGCCTTTTAATCACTTAGCTCTTTGATCCCCTTTACTTGCTTCATTTTCCTTAAAAGTTTTGAGAGCTACTTTCTTGGCTTGTCTATAGAAGAACTTTTTTTTTATTCCTTCTTGCACTTTTTATATCCAAGATTTTATTTTCTACCAGTTTGTAGGTTCAGTGAATGTTCTTTTTCAATCAGAGGGCTCACTTTTTAAACCTTGCCTGCTGTGTTCAGCCTGGTACCTTGGTAAAGTGAGTCAGGATGAGGCTAACTAACAAAACTCACATGAACATCTCTAAGTTTGGCGCTTGTAATGAATAAAATTTTTTAGTGACTGACGTTCACGCTATACTTCAATCAGTTCGTGGAAAAATTAAATGAAAAGATAATGGCGTTTTCCACAGACTCTTGGGAGCCCCCTCATATTGTGAAAGGTGGAAGGCTTCCTCTCCGTCATCTTGCATTTGCAGATGGGGAAACGGAGGCCCACAGAAGGTAGGATATGCCCCGAATGAACCAAAGAGTCAGAGCCAAGGAAAGAACTGATCCTAGTTGCTCATCTTTGCTTTGAATCATTGCTCTCTCTGGGCTTGGCCACATTGACTACAGAGATGAGCTTAAGGACTAACGTTATAATTGGTGTGTGAAAAATACAAAAAATGAATGTGACCCTGCTAGGGTAGATGACTGCAGGAGAGATTTTAAATTCAACAAATTCTTTAAGACGGAATAAAACCCTGACATTCACTTTATATCAGAGGTGGCAGTAGGAGGGCTTTACATCGAAGAGCCAGGTTTCAGCTGCCAGAGAAATGAAGCAGGATGGGAAATTATCAAGGGAAATTGGGAAGACTCGGGCGAGGTGTAGTCTTCATTGTTGGAAAGCTTTCGGTCTTGCTCAGCACTGGAGTACAATAGATGGGCCACTAGCTAAGGTATGGCCGCAGTTTTGTGAAGAGAGAACACGATAGTTTTATGACTTGTAACATTGTTTTCTAAATTTCCAGGAGTGCTGTGACTTTGTGGTGGACCTCGTTCACTCAGCTTAGTCCGTTTGTCTTGCAACGGGATCGATAACACTTTTGACACTTAGTTGGATTCATAGTGGTTCCACTAGAAGGAGTTTCTGAAATGGACTTTCTACAGGCAGCACTCGGGGAACTCTCAGAATTGACATTTCATTTGAGCCCATTCAGCTGTGTGAAGTGGGTGCGGGCACTGGGTCTGTTCAGCTCTCTTTCTCCAGCTCAAGCCCCACTACTTGTCTGTCAGTGAATACATTAGCGTTGTTTGTTTCTTTCTTTCCTGGTGATTTCCTGTTGGTGCTGTATTCATTATGTCAAAGAAGGAAGAACTGTTAGCGTTGTGATGGGGTGTGGGGGTGGGGCGGCAAATAAGGGAGGTGCTGCAGCGCTCCTCAGTCTATGATCCAGGAAAGGGATTCACTCAATCAGTCTCTGTGAATTCCTATCACTTGAAGTTATTAAAAAATAAATAAAAACAAGCCCAAAAGAAAAAGGTCACACCTCACTTTCTCAGAATATCCAATAAAGATATGCTCTGGGAGAAAAGTCTAGTCCTTCCTGATGCCCTCCCTGCATACTGCCATAGGAAACGTGCAGCTGCCACGGAACAGCCCTCTGGATGGATCGTGGAGACTGGAATTTCTGTTTTGACTTGAACCAGCAATTGAAATGTTCTTTATTTTGTGTCCCCCGTGCCCCCCCCCCCTTTGCAGGTGTCTGTCTGTTTTTCTAATTGAACGCAGTTTTTCCAGCTTTAACCCAAACGTCTCAAATTCCTCCTTGGCAGAGTGTCAAGCCCTGCTAGTAACTAACTAGGTAATTAGTGATCCTCTCTTGTTTATCCTCCCAATCACAGATGGGCAGTGCCCTCAGGGACTCAGGTGAGCTAATGTGCTCTGATAGTACTTCTGTGCTAACTTACCTTCTAAAGGAAATGGTTTCGGTATCGGAAACACTAGAACGGTTGGCAGCTGCTGTAGACTTTTCTCAGCATCATCAATGCAGATTGGCCTGCTGTTGGGTGCCTGCCAGTGTAATCTCGCTTGATCCTGTCATTTCAAACACTTAATGCCATTTGTTTTTTATTAACTAGGTGCATCTGAAGATTTCTTGGCAGTTGCACGTAGAAACCGTTGCTCACCTTGCCCTCATTTTTACCTGGGCTGACAAGGGAGAGTGCCCAAATGAGCAAGATACTGCAGCCGCACAGCACTCCCGGCGTGAATGGAATAAGTGTCATTCATACTCAGGCGCCGCACGCCAGTGGCTTGCAGCAGGTCCCGCAGCTGGTGTCTGCCGGTCCTGGAGGAGGGGGCAAAGCTGTGCCCCCAAGCAAGCAAAGCAAAAAGAGCTCGCCCATGGATCGAAACAGTGACGAGTACCGCCAGCGCAGAGAGAGGAATAACATGGCTGTGAAAAAGAGCCGGTTGAAAAGCAAGCAGAAAGCACAGGATACACTGCACAGAGTAAATCAACTCAAAGAAGAGAATGAACGATTGGAAGCAAAAATTAAATTGCTGACCAAGGAATTAAGCGTACTGAAAGACTTGTTTCTTGAGCATGCACACAACCTCGCAGACAACGTGCAGCCTGTTAGCACTGAAAATACCACCAGTCCCAGCGACGCTGGACCCTAAATCCCACCCGCTCCAAACTTCACAACTCGTGGCTTGAACGTTGAAGGTGTGACCACCTACACCGCTCGTATCAGTGACTGAGCGTGCTCATGGTCCACTCTTCAGAGCTCCATTGACGTTGCGTTCTAGGATTAGCACTGAAGAATTGAGTAGCTAAAACTCTGTTAGCCATGTAACTTGAATATCTGGTTTTAAATGAAATTGGTGTTTGTGGGTAATAAAAAATAAAAAATTTTATAGGTACATGGTTAAAAAAGACAAAACAAAAAAAATTCCTGAAATCCCAAGAACTGCCCCCATTGTGTTTGGTGGACAAAAGAAATGGGAGAACTAGCCAGGCCATGCCGTGGGTTCTTGGTTTAAATGAATATGGTTACTGAGACTGAATGCCATCGATGTTAATATATATTTGTGATTTTTTTTTTTCTAAACGATGTATTAAAAATCCTTAGAGCTATAGAAACTAATCACTTGATAATTTGGAGTGATTTTATATATAGCATAAACCCCATTTTAATATAATTACTATTGTTTTTTTTCCAACAAATAAACAAGTTATTTTTTTAGTAGTGATGCCAGGTTAAGTAAAGAAACGCCAGTGCGTTTTGAAGGCAGTTTGCAGTCAGTAACGTAAATATACTAAACATTTAGGAAGTAAATAGATTTTTTTAAAAAGTAAAGTGTGTTAGAATCAGGCTTTTGGGATGTGTTTGGGTTATTGCATTAGCGTTATTTTGTCTCCTGGAAAAAAAACTGCAGTGATTTAACGAAGCTTGTGTACCAAAATGTTAATTTAGGCATTTTTGGGGTATAATTTTGTCAGCCAAGTTAGTAAACAATTTTTTGTCCTAACAGTTTGATCACACCAGCTTCTGATTAGGATGTGGACTGTGAATTCAGCAGGCCGTTTCAACTGTGTTGAATTACAAGAAAAAACTGCCACGGGGCAATGATTTTTAAAGGCAAGCATTTCTTGTGAAGGATCATTTTGATATTTGATCTTAACCAGCTGATTATTAGAAAAAAAGTATCACCAACTCCATGACATCTCCCAGAAAATAGAAGTCCGAAAAAACTTGAAAGGGTAAGGTTTTCACCTTTAATTTATTTCACAGAAATACATCTTAGGTATTTTTGTGACATTTCTTTTTCTAGTTAGTGGGCTGTTCCTCCAGACTCTGTATACCGCTGCTTCTGTTTATTCCTTTGCATGTGTTTATGTTCCATAAATTATTTTAGAATGAAAATAGATAAAACTCAGGATACTGACATTTTTGTTGACTAAAAACTGGCGAATCACTAAAATAGAGATTCTTTGTAGAGTCTGGCTTTTACCAGTGCTGGTGAGTTAGAGAGTTTCTTGTTAACTATTTTGTTTTTCTGTTAGCACAGTTCTAGCTCATAATTTGTTGGCGCTTTTTTTTTTTTATGCCTGGGCAGGTGATGAGAGATGGAATCACATCTGATAAAAAAGTTTTGAGTTACCAGATCTCTCATTTAAACATGGTAATTTTGGGCCATGTTGCTGTTTCTACAAGGATGTAACTATAGTGTATCTCAGTATAGCTCGAGTTGTACTCTTGGGTTTGTGTAAGAATTGCTGACTGTGGTATATATTCTCCTAACCAGACCTAACAAGACCTTTTGAAAGTGTTGAAGAGCAAAGATGTCAGCTTGAGGACTAAGGTGTGCCCAATCCCAGCCATAGTGTTTTCAGTAACCTCGTATGCATGCAAAAGCTGGACAGTGAATAAGGAAGACCGTAGAAGAATTGATGCTTTTGAGTTATGGTGTTGGAGGAGAATATTGAAAGTGTCATGGGCTGCCAAAAGAACCAACAGATCAGTGTTGGAAGAAGTGCAGCCAGTGTTCCTTGGAGGCCAGACAGCCAAACTTTGTCTTTCATACTTCAGACATATTGTCAGGAGACCAGTCACTGGAGAAGGGTATCATGTTTGGTAAGGTGGAGGATTGGAGAAAAAGAGGAAGACCCTGGTGAGATGGATTGGCAAAGTGGCAGCATCGATGGGCTCAGGCGTGGCAACAATTGTGAGGTTGGCCCAGGACCGGGCAGTGTTTGGTTCTGTTGTGCATAGGGTCATTATGAGTTGGTACTGACTTGATGGCACCTAACAAAACAACAACCAGAAGATAATAACTGTGCCCTGTAACTCAGCAAAGCTGTTGTTAGGACTAGAAGCCCCTTCTGCACGAGAGACAGTTGCCTAGTTTGGTCGCATGTGAGACACTGTCCCAGGAGGTTAACTCCCTTTAGAGCTAGGAAGCAGGATAGGGGTTTCTGTTAGAGCTCAGTACCAGTTTACTGTAGTTGGAGTATTGATCTGCTTGTAAAGCATGATAGATGTTTTAACTAACTAGGGCACACCACAAAACTCCACTGAATCTAGTAGCTCATTGCTGTTGAATAAGCCAAATTGGAGATGCAGTTAAATCCCTTGAATCTTTAAGCGCCTGTAATAGCTATTCTATCTACGGCCATACCACCCACCCTGAATGTGCCGGATCTCTCCTGTTCTCGGAAGCTAAGCAGGTCAGGCCTGGTTAGTGCTTGGATGGAAGACTGCCTGGGAATATTCAGTGATGTAGGCTCCAAAAAGGCTCTCTGGTAGTGTAGTGGTTATGAGTCAGGCTGCTTACCCTCACGGTCAGCAGTTGGAAACTACCAGCTGTTCTGTGGGAGAAAGATGAGGTTTCTGCTCCTGTAAAGGTTTATAGCCTCGGGACCCCACACAGGGTCACTATGAGCCTCAGAAACCCATACATGGTCACTATGAGTCGGAACCAACTCCATGGTGTATCACCACCAGTAGCTATTACATTTTCATACCTTATTTAAAAACTCAGAAATTGATGTCCCCATGGAATTTGTGGTCAGCGATGATATTAACTAGCTTAACTGAAAATAAACCTCCAAGGAAATCATCAGAGGTGTGTACTCACTATTTCAAATCAGAAGATAAGATTGGAACTTGGAAAAACGGATTCAAGCTTTCCTATTACCTATGCAAATAAAAGTGTTAGCATAAGCAATCAATTATGCATAGAACAAAAAGGGTTAACCATTGTCTTGACTGTCTCACTGCCTGGTTGGGGATGAAAGCTTTTAGTCTGGTAGATGAGTCAGTATAAAATGGAGGAAAGCCCAATGTGGGGGAATGAATAAGTTTAGAGCTTTGGAAATTGTAAACTAACTTGTAGAGCTCTTGTTCTGTGCATTACCTTTGAACAGTTAGGGTTTGATCTGCCTCTACTGGCCGTTTGATGGTTTAGGAACTAGGCTTGGTCTGAATGTCTAACTGCAGCTGAGTCTCCTGAGTTTGGTGCTGTTTGACTGTTTTGGGCTGCAGATGGTGAGATCAGATCAGCTCTTTAGTTTTCTGGGATGTGAACTCAAATACTTACATTCTTACCAAGAATTGCTTCATTAAGTACTGTCAAGTCGGTTCTGACTCAGCGACCCGGTACAGGGTTTTTGAGGAGCAGCTGATGGGTTTGAACCACTGATCTTGAGGTTTGCAGTCCAGTGCTGATCCTACAGCACCATACTAGATTTTAATGAAGAATTAGTGAGATTTCAATGCAATGTGACCAGATTTTCAAAATTCAGCTCCTGAGTGTGAAATGCTCAAATTGACATAAAAAGTAGATGTACAGTTTATTATTTGCTGTTACAGGAAACTCGCAGCGTTTGATGTTTCCTAATCCCTGTTAGAGAGCTTGGAACCTTGTACCTGGACAACCACTCAGTGCTTTTTGACGCCTTAGCAGTAGGGAACATTGTTTTTATGTTTGACAAAAGCTAGGAAGGAGAAAGTCCAGTGTTTAGCTATAGATCTGTTTCTCAGGAAAAAGTACTCACTTGTTCTTTTGGTTCCTGACGTCCTCAGTGTGTGAGATTATTCTATTTTTTAAAATATTTTATTTTTTTCAATGGATTTGAAATAAAAAAAAACAACAACAAAACTTTGGTAATAACTGTATTTCATTCTTTATATTTGATACCAAAAATGTAGCCTAAATGTTAAACAGCTCTGAAGAAGAGGCCAGTGCTCTGTTGTCTTTCATGCTTCCAGCCCAGGGTGGGGGGACAAGCAGAGGTACTTTTGTCCAAGATTTCCCCTTAAGAGTAGGAAAGTTTTCTGTGAACATGGCATTTAAGTCACTTGGTCTGATCTGAAATGTTGACAGGAACAGAGAAAACACTCATTGGTGTTCCTGTTCAGTCATCCACTGTCTGAGTATACGTATAGTTTCCATTTTCAGAGTGGTGGTAAGTCATCACTTCTGAGGTTTTGAGGCAGACAGTCACGAATACCAAGGAAGGCCTTTCCGTAACAATAGAATTTTATCGTGTGTGTAGCGTCTTCATTAATGTGATGCAGTAGAGCATCCGTAGAGGTGAATTTGCGGAATTTCATGAACACTGTGAGTCCAGGAAGCCCTTCTGGAGTGTTTCTGGAGAAGATGCCATTTAGCCAGTTTTCTATGATGCATCAATTAGTTTCATGTCTTGAGAAATAAATTTCGACTTGTTGCATCTTAATGAAAACTGTCGTACAGTGATTATTTCTAGGGGCACTCTTTTTTTTTTGCTTTGTTTCTATTTACTTTTAATTTTTTATTGTGAGGTTTACATGGAAGAATTACCAGTTTTACATTCATGCTATTGTATTTCATATCATTGCAATGATTACAATCTCCTCATGCATCATCAAATAACCAAAGGGTACACCCCACAGGGCTCACCCCCCGGCCGTCAACACACAGCCCCTCTCCCTCCCTGAGTTCAGTGTCCCAGCCGCTCCATCTGTCCGTGTCATCATCTCTGTCTCCATCCTTGGCATCTCTGCCTCTCAGGGTAGGGTCTCACTCTCCGCTCTTCTCACTTGATGGTCCTGCTCCTGGGCTGCAAAATCAATCTCTCCCCTCCTTTTATCAAAAAACGCCTACCTCGATTTCCTACCCTCACAGTCAGTACT